GGAGCACGCAGCCCGGGGCATGCTCTGCGGCACCCCCCACCCACCCCCACCACGCACCCCTCCCCGCAGATGATTGAGGAGACCAAGCGCAGCCTGCACGACGCGCTGTGCGTGGCGCGCAACCTGGTGCGAGACAACCGCATCGTGTATGGCGGCGGCGCGGCGGAGATGGCGTGCAGGTGGGGCGCCTGCCCGGGGGGGAGGGGAGCGGGGTAGGGGTGCTGGTAAGGTGCCGCAGAGCATGCCCCGGGCTGCGTGCTCCCCCCCCGGGCTGCCTGGCTCCAAGCCTCTGCCACGACATGCTGCCGTGCCACGCCACAGCCCCACACGCTGCACCCTCCCTCCCTCCACGCCCGCCATGCAGCCTGGCGGTGGAGGCGGCGGCCGACGGCGTGCCGGGCGTGGAGCAGTATGCGATGCGCGCCTTTGCCGACGCGCTGGACATTGTGCCGCTGAGCCTGGCCGAGAACAGCGGGCTGGCGCCCATTGAGAGCTTGACAGAGGTGGGGGAGAGCGGCCCCACCTCTGCTGGGGCGGCATATGCAGCAGGGCAGGCTGCTTGCTGGGCAGGGGGTGGGGGGTGGGCGGTGTGGAGGTGGCTTGAGGAGCCCCATGCTCGGTCTATGCTCGCATGCTCGACGCCGGCTGCAACCCCCCTGGCGTCGCCCCTGGCTGCTGCTGTGCCTGCTGTGCCACTGTCCCCCCCCTTCTCCCCTGCCTCGCCCCTTGCTGCGCCTCCGCTGCCTCACTTCTCCCCCTCTGCCCTCCTCCTGCCCGTCACCCCAGGTGAAGACGCGGCAGATGCAGGCGGCCAACCCGTACCTGGGCATAGACTGCAACGACGTCGGCACCAACGACATGCGGCAGCAGAACGTGTTTGAGACGCTCATCGGCAAGAAGCAGCAGCTCATGCTGGCCACGCAAGTGTGCAAGATGATCCTCAAGGCGAGCGGGAGCAGGCGGCGGGGCGGGGGCCGGGGTGTAACGGGCGTGGCGTGGGAGGGAGGCGGGCGTGCTTGCGTGTTGGCGGGCACGGCTTGCCGCACTTGGCTGCCGTCCAGCTGGAGCCTGCGGGGGCGCTCTGTGCGGGGCTGCGCCTAGTTGCAGGGGTGTGTGCTTCATTGCTGGCCCTTTCACGCAATGCAGTTCCCGGACATGAGAAACGAATTCTTTGTCCTGGCTGCCTGCAGATCGACGACGTCATCAAGCCCAGCGAGTATGAGTGATGCAGGGCATGCAGCTGTGCGTGAGAGGGCGGCAGCCCAGCTGGCCTTTATGGCGCGGATAGCCCTGGGTGGGCGCCCCACGACAAGCAGCCACCGCCGACAGTCAACGCTTGAATGAGGAGTGCCCATGCATGCCGCCACAGCAGCTGCTCCCCGTTCCTGTTCTTCCTGAAGCTTGCAAGGTCGCACGCTGTCACACAGGTCGAGGCTGGCGGCATGCGACGCTCTCCTGCCCACCTCAAGTGCAGGGGAGGGACATGTTCATGTGGCACACATCACAGCATGGCATGGGATGTAGGAACCTTGCAATCCCGGTCCCGTTTGCCCAGTTGTGCGCTGTGATCAGCAGCGGTGACGAGCAGTGGGGAAGGAAGGCCCAGCACCAGGCAAGGCGTGGGTATGGAAGGGCGTGGCGGGAAGTGGTGGTCCGGCATGCAGGAGGCCCAAGTGGCTGCAATGCTGCACTCACGTCATACACATACTGGCTCTTGGCAGCAGCGAGCCTCCTAACTGCAGCGGCACGCTGCTGGGGGGCAGCAAGCTCCTGCGGCAGCACGCAGGCGCTTGCGGGCAGCGCCGTCCACCACCCCTGGCCGCCGCGGCCCCCTGGCGGCTGAAGGTAGGTGCTGTACTGATCGCCTTGCGTTTCCTGCTTCCCCCCCAGGCGGCAAGTGGCCGTCAGCACCGAGCCAACAGCACCAAGTTGGGAGCACAGCAGCGGCCAGGTTCAATAGGCCAGCTATGGCTGTCAGCGCGAGAGTGCAAATCGCGAGCGCGAGAGTGCAAATCGGAGGCCCAATTTGCTCGAGGGGCCGACCTTTCGCCCCAGGCGATCTTCGTGGGCTCTCGTCGAGAGTTCTGGCGCAGCCTCCTCTGTCCTCCCGTTGCTGCCCCAATCTCCCGCACGCCTGCGCCCATCTCCCGCCGGCGCTCATCTGCAGCACGCCGGCGCCCATGTCACGAACGCCGGCCCCCACGCCGGCGCAGAAAACTTCCGCAGCCGGGCGGAATGCCGTCAGGGCATTCTTCCGGTGCAGGCCGTGGATCTGGCCGTGCAGTGCAGCTGCGCCGCAGGCGCTCACACCGCCCACCGCCACCACCGCGGCAGGGTGGGCCATGAACGAGCTGAACGCGTTGGGA